CAGCCACAGTGTGGAAATCAGGTGAGTCTCATGTAGGCATCAGGCATTCCCTCGGGGGGCTGTAAAGCCCAGCTTGCTCAATGCTAAAGGTATCGGCTCCACGCTGTGCAGCCGTGCACCACTCAGGCCCAGACGCATTGAAAGTTGTCCTCCTCGTGCACAGTCACTGTTCGCAGGATTGCAGCGCCAGTTCTCCCAAGGACAGTTTGAGCCTTGCCCTGAGTAACTCATTGCAGGTTTGCAACTGTGTCTCCGGAGGGGTCAGAGTGACACGTGGCATCCACCATCTTGTACATGCTTGAATGCCAGCTGCGTGTTCAGCAGGTACACCGCGTGCACTCAGCAATGAGGGCAGCCTCTAGAGGGTAGACCAGGATCAACAGGGCATCACACAGCAGCGCAGGTCAGGGGCGGAGATCGTCCACTTCTCCATTCCCCCGGACTCACCAAGCCTGCTCACGGTGCTTCAGAAACGTAGACCTCCGGGGACATCAAACACACTCCAAAGTAATCCTGATGGGTTCAGGAGCATCCTAGATTTAGTAGGGGTCAGCAAGGATATTATATTTCTCGTTAAAATTGTTTTTTATGAAAGTATATGCCAGAGCCCATACAAGATGCGTGCGTCCAGCATGGCAGGCAGGCAGGCAGGCCCCGCCCTTTGATTATATTTTTAATGCTGAAATCTGACTTTAAAAGAATTTGCTTTTGTGTGTTTCTTCCTTCAATTTTTATTTAAATAAATAGTATATTTGATAAGTGCATTTCTTTGCTATATAATTTATCATATTTATTTGTTTTGTCTTTGTAGCCACAAGATATTCCTGATGGACACCGTGCTCCTCCACCTCTGGCCTTGCGTAGTATAGACACTCAGACACCAGGAGTAAATGATCGCGGAAGCAACAACAGCAGTCGCGCTCAGTCTATTTCACCAGCCTCCTTCATTACAATCTCAAATGAGTTCTGCGAAGAAAGCCCTTGCGCTGTGGATGACACTCATACAGATCCTCGAGACAAAGGTACACTCACCTGTTGTGTCATACACTTTATATGTACTCTTCTTTAGAGATTGTAAGTTCGACCTTATCAACCTATTGTTCATGTCAAAATTTGTAATCTTATTTATTGTTAAAGTTCCGTGAAAGAGACACAAGATATGCTTCTGCAAAATAGTTGAGTAAAAGTCCACTATTTCAACCAAATGGTCACAAAGAGATTGGTGCAGCACAGTATTTTGCCGCACACCCACACAAGGCTTCCAATGCTATTGCATAGGAAAGCATTGTATTGGCTTAAATCATCTTGATCTTGATGTTCTCCGCCAATGAGGCTGAACAGAATGTTGGAGACCAGTTCTGTGAGAGACAAATTAATTTTTAAATCGCCTTTTTAACCAAGGCAGCAGGAGCCCGGTCACCTAAACGATGAGCAGGGCAGTATAGCGTTAGGAATACATATTTGTATTCCTAACACTATAGTGTTTCTTAAATTATATTGTAATGCACTGAAAAATAGGATGTTACTAAATAAATGCCAGTAATAATATTCCTTTTGGGAATGTGTGACATAAAAGTCTAAGTCATTTAGTTAAAGTGAAAGTATGGGGTAAAAATAACCCCCATCTTTTTAAATGCATTATAAAGATAATAGAAAATAAAGAAGATGCATGTCTGGAAGATTTCCTTTCATGCATATATTAAGTGCTTCATCTGCAGTCAGAACCCTCCATCATTATGTAGACACTCTTATCCCATACACTCCTGCAGACCACTTAGGATGTGTAACTGCCCTGTAAACTGATAGCAGACATACCCCATGTGATTCATCCTTTAGCAGCTATTAATCCAATGCGGGACAGTTTTCTCACAGCTGCTCCATTCCATGATATTATCCGAATTGATATTGATCTTGGGTCTAGTGATAAACATTAGACATGTTAAATGTCACCATACTGTACGTGATAATGCCAAACAAAAGCATTTGAATATCAAGATCTTACAGTTAGGGATGTAATGCCTCTAGTTGCTTGTGCAAATGTAAATACTGTCTTTTCTACATTAAGATATTGTAGTGTTGGTGTTTAGAGTATCTCTGTCAGACAAACTGATAGCATCCAAAGCTCTATGCATCATTTTTAGTGACACAATATTATAAAACAGATTATAAGCACCATATCAACTGATGCTCATTGCAATAAGAAAGTATCTCTGCAAATATGAGTGTATAACTAAACCAACAAGCAAAAATCTCTAGAGTTATTAAACTACCCCTTCTCCATGGGAAGGCAAAGAAGCATTTTTACTTACTCCTTGGCTGCCCCAATCCTAATTTGTATGTATAGAAGCGTGTTCACGCAGTGCGAGTTCCCACCTCCTCTCCCCTGTTCTTAGAAAGCGCCCAAGCTGGATTGATCTGATAAATATATTGATGAATCCATTGGGTGGGAATTCTAAAGGCACTATTTTGTACCAGAGTAGTAATCACAAAGAAATACTTCTGCAAGTACCATCAATGGCAAGAGAAGTGTAGTGAAGTAAAAGTTGTATATCCGTATTTGGCTAGCCCTTTTCTGTCTCATTTTGTTTCGGAAGATACACACATACCGTATTAAGTTACTATTACATTCTTGACCTAGTAAGTTGTGGTTGCTGAAGTCGGTTTTCTTTTCACTATTTTGTCATGTTTCATTTGTTTTTGTTTTAAAACTTGGGGGCTTATAGTGACAGCTGATAACATTTTTGTTTTTATGTTTCAACCACCCTACTGTAGGGCTGATTAATAGAGCAGTGATTTATTTTGTTAAATGCAGAGAATGGAAACCACTCCCCTCTACCTAAATATGCCACTTCTCCAAAGCCAAACAACAGCTACATGTTCAAACGAGAACCTCCAGAAGGTTGTGAGAGAGTAAAAGTGTTTGAGGAAAGCTCGTAAGTATAAACATTTACATACATTTTTTTATTTTATACAAATAATGTCTTATACTTAACATGGTATTTAGAATTTAAGGCTGTCCGCTCTAGCTAAATCATTTAAATAATATCAAAGGAGTTGATATCTTATATTCAGTTTTGATATGTCATGGTTTTTTATTTATTTTTTTGTTTTGTTTTTTTTTGTAATTGTACTTTAAAGAGTTACTCCAACCAAAAATGGTGTTTTATTGAAACACTGTTTTTGGTCAAGAAACTTTTGCTGGCATGTCTCCCCTCTCCAAAAAGAAAGAGAGCGAATACACTGCAATGCCACGAGTTTTCATTGCAGCCCAATCCATCCCTGGTAATGTCAAACGGCGAGGGGGGCCATGGTGCATTGGTCATCTGTCACCAGCATATGTGACCTGACAACAGATGCCAAATATGCACAGAGTTTACATTAGCCAGCCCATAACTGCCTGGGATGGATTTACACCTTGGGCAGCAATGTGCTTTGACTGTGCAACGTTTCTAAATCGCAAATCGCAAAACCTGACAACAGATGCCAAATATGCACAGAGTTTACATTAGCCAGCCCATAACTGCCTGGGATGGATTTACACCTTGGGCAGCAATGTGCTTTGACTGTGGGGCGTTCTAAATACATAAAATCTGCACATACAGACTTCAAGAAGTCAATTTGAGTAGTAGAAAAGAACTGCATTTATAAGTATAATGAAAGGCCAACCGTCTTTTTCAAAACTTTATTTTGTAAAAGCATTTGCTTAGACAAGATATTTCAGTGTAGCGGTCATTGATACACATCTGAGGTTTTCATTATAAGAAATCTTAATTTTTAAGTTGAAGTGTAGGTTGGTGGCCAAATGTAACATTAAAATTGATACTCTCTAGTACCCACAATATGATTATGTATATAACCAAATTAGATAATCATGCTTACCAATATTTAGTTTAGGACAAGAATGTTTATTTGCTTTTGCATAGTACTGACAAGCGTAATCATGAACTCACTTTTTGTCCCTTTGCTATATGATCACAGATACATTAAAATATATATTCAATAATGCACTGTTATTTCATCGCACTTACACATATCTGACTCAAACAGCAAAGAGATCTCCCTCAATTTTACAGCAGCTATGAGAGATTGTTTCCACAATTTTGTTTCCCAGAATGCACATTGCGGAATGTAAAATAGTACAGACAGCTATGACTTTCTCCATTTCTAGCTGCCCTAGGAATAACATTAGCATAAAAAGCTGTACTTTCAAATAGATAAAAGGAACCTGCAGAAAAATGTAAGTTGGAAATCTGCTAGCTATTTGTGCTTCTTTGCATATATCTATGTGAAAGCACAATCTTTTCACGCGCCTCTGTGTCTGGAAGCAGACTTTTCCTAAGATATTTTTAATCCTTTTTTTTTTTTTTTTTTTAAATCTTACTACGTCTTCAACAATGCATATAAATAGAGATTTGAGCATATGAACATCAACAAAGGTAGCTGTGTAGTCGAGATTCCTTGACAAGGAAACATAGACTTATTCTACAGAAGCTATAACTTGTACATAGAAACATAGAATGTGACGGCAGATAAGAACCATTCGGCCCATCTAGTCCAGGGCCGGTGCTACCTGTAGGGCGACCTAGGCAACCGCCTAGGGTGCACCTTAGCAGGGGGCGCCGGATCCCTGCACCAGGAATCACCGGTGCGGCTCCTCATGCTGCGCCGCCTGAGTGAGCACTTCCCTTCAGTCCGCCGGCGGCCGGGTACAGGAAACACAAGTTCCTGTCCCGCGTTCCGTGCCGCCCGGCCACGCTACATAGACAGGAGGGAAGAGGAGGGTAAGGACCACCAGGGGAGGGGGGTATGGACCACCAGGGGAGGGAGGGTAAGGACCACTGGGGGAGGAGAGGGATGGGGGGAGTAAGGACCAGTGGGGGGGTGGGGGGGGGAAGGACCACTGAGGGGTAAGGACCACTGAGGGAGGAGGGGGGAGGTCCACTAAGGGGTTTGGGAGAGGGAGGACCACTAAGGGGGGAAAGGACCACCAAAGGGGGGTAAGTAGGGAGGACCACTAAGGAGAGGGGAGGAGGGTAAGGACCACTAAAGGGGGGTTGGGGGAGAAAGAGGATAATGACCACTGAGGGGGTGAGATTACCACTAAGGGGGTGGGAGGAGGAGGGGAATGTCTACAAAGGGGTTTGGGAGAGGGAGGACCACTAAGGGGAGGGATGGAGGACCACTAAGGGGGAGAGCGGGGAGTGAGAAGACCACCAAGGGGGGATTACAGGGGGCCAAGGGAGAGCACTAAGGGACAGAAGGGGAGAACACGGAGGGAAGGGTAAATCAATAATTGACAGGAGGGGAGAGCACTATGAAAAAAATAAAGAGCTGCTCCCCTCTCAGTCCCTATCCTACTCCACAAACCCTCTCTTTTACACTACACACATACACAATGCACCCCTCCCACACACACACACACACAGAAGCATACAATGCATCCCTTACGTTCACACAAACACTCATTCTCTTACACACAGAAACAAAATGCATCTCTTACACAATCAATGCACCCCTTACGGACACACACTGCATTCAATTAAATACACAGAAACACACCTTGCACCCCTTACACACACACACACACACACACACACACACACACACACACACACACAG